GACTTTGAATGTTTAACTGTGCCAATTGATGTTAAAAGCAAATCGGCAAAAGCTAAAACTACATCATATCAAAATCATCGTCCGTGTGGTTTTATGATTAATGTAGTCAATGCTATAACCGGAAGTAGTGAGCCTTACTTATATAGAGGTCAGGATTGTATGGATAAATTTGTTGAGAAAATCAATAAAGTCAGAGAGGAAGTTTTGGAGGAAAATGAAGGAGGACAAAGACCGTATTGAAACCGAGAAGGACTGGGAGGACTTCAATAATGCCACTAACTGCTTCATTTGTGGAAACAAATTTGAGGAAGGAGAAAAGAAGTGTTGGGACCATTGCCACTTTACGGGGCAGTATAGAGGATGCGCCCACGAGGACTGCAATCTACGATTTAGTATGAGATATTATAAAATCCCTGTGTTTCTTCATAACCTTAAAAACTATGATGCCCACTTAATCATCAACAAGGCTCACGAACTGAACAAGAATTCTAAAATAGAATGTATCGCTCAGAACAGCGAAAAGTTTATAACCTTTGGTTTTAAAAATCTTTGTTTCAAGGACAGTTTCAGTTTCTTATCGTCTTCGTTGGATAAGTTGGTCAGGTTGAGTAAATATGAGGATGATAAAAAGCGTGAGAATTGGAAGAACAATTTCAGATACAGCGTTAGAAACCCGTATGTTAAAACCGATGAAGATTTGGATTTATTGACTGATAAGGGTATTTATCCCTATGACTACTTTGATGATTTTGAAAGATTTAAGGAAAGGGCTTTACCACCGAAAGAAGCGTTTTACAGTAAATTGAGTGAGGAACATGTAAGTGATAAAGATTATGAAAGGGCACTGAAAGTATGGAAGCACTTCGGGATTAGAACACTCGGGCAGTATCACGACTTGTATTTAAGAACTGATGTTTTACTACTGACCGATGTATTTGAAAACTTTAGAGACTTGTGTATGGAATACTACGGTTTAGACCCCGCTCATTATTATACGTTGCCAAATTTCGCATGGGACGCGATGCTTCTAAAAACTGGTGTTGAAATAGAACAATTGCATGACCAAGAAATGTTTGAGATGGTTGAAAAGGGAATGAGAGGTGGTATGTGTCAGGTAAGTCATAAATTAGCGGTGGCAAATAATAAGTATATGGAGGAAGCATATGATGAGAACAAGCCATCAAATTATATTAGCTACTTGGATGCTAATAACTTGTATGGTTTAGCAATGTCCCAGAAATTACCGCTAAAAAATATCAAGTGGGCAAAGAAAACGCCCAGTGTTGAAAAATGGAATGAAAACGATGAGTTCGGTTATATTATGGAAGTTGATTTGGAATATCCCGAAACATTGCACGACTTCCACTCTGACTATCCACTAGCGCCTGAAATAATGAATGTAAATGTGAATATGCTTTCCGATTATCAAAAGCAAGTCTACAAAATATATTATGATGGTAAAAATCCCAAGGATGAGAAAACAAGTAAGTTAATATTAAATCTAAAGGATAAAGAAAAATATGTGGTTCATATCAAGACTTTACAGTATTATTTGAAAATGGGAATGAAAATGACAAAAGTCCATAGGATAATAAAATTTCAACAGAGGGCATGGTTGAAACCGTGGATTGATTTTAACACTGGTAAAAGGAAAGAAGCCAAAAGCGATTTTGAGAAAGATTTATTCAAATTAATGAATAATTCTGTGTATGGAAAAACTATGGAAGACAAACGAAATCATATGGACTTTGAATTAGTTGATAATGAAGTTAGATACGAAAAATGTGTTAATAATCCAACATTCAAAAATAGATTTATTATTAATGAAAACCTTGTAGGAGTTGAAAAAACTAAAGCGAAGCTGAAACTGGACAAACCGATTTTCTTAGGAATGACAATCCTTGACATCAGTAAATTACATATGTATCAGTTCTACTATGATGTTCTTAAGAAGAAATACAATGAAAACATCAAACTGGTTTATACTGATACTGACAGTTATGTAATTCAAACATTCACTGAGGACATCTACAAGGACTTCAAAGAATTAAACCAATATATGGACTTTAGCGATTATCCACCTGAACACCCCTGCCATGACAAAACAAATAAGAAAAAACTCGGTTATTTCAAGGATGAGTGCAACGGTCAAACAATAACACAATTCATAGGGTTAAAGCCCAAATCGTATGCTTTTACAATACACGGTGAAGAAGAAGAACAAAAGAAATCAAAAGGTGTAGTGAAACACAAGGTGAAGAAAGAACTGACTTACCAAAACTACCACGAAGCATTATTTCAAAACAAAAAGCATGAAATAACATATAATTTTATTCGTAGTCGCAACCATCAATTATTTTCAATGTCTCAAGTCAAGCAATCACTCAGTAATTATGAAAATAAAAGGTTTTACATTGATGCTTTCAATTCACTGCCTTATGGACATTATAAACTGCGTTAAAGAAAAGATAACTAAGGTTATTAATGGATAGCAGTAAATATAAAAACGCAAAGATTTACAAAATAACAGATGTTGGTTATAATAAGTGCTACATCGGAAGCACCTGTGAAAGCTTGAGCCAAAGAATGGCAAGACATAGACAAAATTATAACAAGGCAGAACAATGGAATAATAAAACAAACTGTCGTTTGTTGTTTGATGAATATGGAATGGACAACTGTAAGATTGAATTATTAGAAGACTACCCATGTGAAAACAGAGAACAGTTAATGAAAAGAGAAGGTTATTACATTCAAAATAATGATTGTGTGAATAGATGTGTGGTAGGTAGAACAATTAATGAGTGGAAGGAAGACAATAAGGAACACTATCAAAATATGAGGAAGGAATACGCAGAAAACAACAAAGAACATATATGTAATAAAAGTAGGGAGCACTACCACCAAAACAAAGAAACAATATTGGAAAAACGAAAAGAACCTATTGAATGTGAATGTGGTGGTGTTTTCAGGAAATGTGATATAAGAAGACACGAGAGAACTGAAAAACATCAACGATATGTATGTGAAAATATTAATATCTAAATAGTTCTAATAATATATGCACTTATTAGAACTATTTAGTGGTACTTCTTCAGTTGGTAAAGTAGCAAAGTCGCTCGGTTATAATGTTATATCATTGGATTTGAAAACGGTGGGTAAACTCCCCAATTAAGGGGGGCGAACTCCCCAATTAAGGGGGGCGAACTCCCCAATTAAGGGGGGCGAACTCCCCAATTAAGGGGGGCGAACTCCCCAATTAAGGGGGGCGAACTCCCCAATTAAGGGGGGCGAACTCCCCAATTAAGGGGGGGCGAACTCCCCAATTAAGGGGAGAACTCCCCAATTAAGGGGAGGAATGGCTCAAGTAACAAGGTCTGGCTCACACAACACAGTCAGGCTCACACAACACAGTCAGGCTCACACAGCAAGGTTTGGCTCACACAGTAAGGTCTGGCTCGCACAGCAAGGTCTGGCTCACACAGACATTTAAATTAAACCTGAAACCCAGACCAGCTGACCAGCAACCCCCTAGTCAAAACTACTTAAAGAAAAAATAGCATAACATATTAAGAGAAAAATGAACTATGATGAAATCAACAGTTATATTAATAAGAAATGCTATGATTGTTGCCACTTCAAAAAAGAAAATATGGAATTATACAAATTGAATTTACCTAATGGAATAGTAAATAATATTACTGATTATGCTCTGAGTGAAGAAGATGTATGTAGAACTTGTAGAAGATGGAGACGATATCAAAATATGATAGAAAATTTTTGGAGATTAAAAAAATAGATGAAAGAAATGTTGAAGATGACATTTTGATATTTTTAACTGTGTATGAAATACCACCTCATAGTTATGTTAGAGCATTTCTCAAAATCAGTAAGAAAATATGACATGATTGATGATATATTATGGATGTTGGGTTATAGTCAAGAGAAAGGAGAAGATGTTAAAGAAAATATCAAATTATTTATTGAAAGTAAAAAGTTTAATGTTCAAAATACAGTGAGAGATATTAATATTATTTTTAAAATGGTGTATGAAAGAAGTAAGACAAATCAATTAAATTATTATCCTGTATTGGGATTATAATCATACTATAATAATAACATGTAAAATCTTATATGTTATAATTATACTGAACGTTTAACCTATAAATGAAAATTAATGAGAAACATACTAACAAAACAAATGCACCGCCAACACCCCAGAACTTGATAACTACTAAAAGGGCTACCTCTTTCAAATGAAAAAATGTTTGCCCCTAGCCCAACAATGAACAAGGCGACAATTTACCCAAATGATTACCTTAACGAAAACGATAAATAAGCTCCCTAAAAACCCTCTTTTCAAAACGAATAAGGGGGAACATAGATTTGAGATGAACATAAAAACCATAACAGGCAACCCTCAACAGACTTCCCCCCAGGCCCCCTACTTCTTCTATTTTTTAGGGGGGGGAGGGGGGGGGAGGGTCGGCGGACTGAGCCGGAGGCTCTTATATATATATATATATATATATAAAGTTTATATATATATATATATATGTATTCACTTCCCGAGTGGGTTGGCCAAACAAATCCGAAGATGTTCTTCCCATTTCAACGGGCGTCTCAAAACGTATGAAGTTCAGGAGCTCGGGGAGTGAGTATACGGGCGTGTCTTAAAATAGGGGACCCCAAATTGGTGGTGGTCCTTGGTTTCCCTTTCAACCCAAAAAAAGGGGGACCAACTCCAAAAAAGACCCACCCATGTTAGCCAAAATTACTTGCTTCCCCAGGACATCGTAGACATCTGGGCTTGTCCCCTGGTTTGGGCGAAATTTGTTGAGCTTTTGTTGCCCGGCTCGCCCCTTTATGGATAGACCCAGGTTCCTCTTAGTTCCCATCCTCAAAAAAGCCACGCCCAGGAAGTTTCGACGTTTTTTCCCTCGCTGCCTGACCCCTCCCAACCTCCCAACCCCCCGGCGCGAGGAAAGAACGACTCGCGCCGGCTCCAGGCACGCATAGCCGGCCAGCGCCAGGGTGAGGCCGCCGCAAAGTAGGGAGCACCTGAGCTTTGGGATGTGGGTCTTGGGGGAACCACGTAGTGTTCCAGCAACCACATGGTTGTGCGTCTCTTTTTGAACAAGCCGTCTTTTGGTTCAAACGAGAAACCCCAAGGACGCAGAGCCGAGGGGTTTGGGCCCAGTTTGGGCTGGAGGTTTTGGCCTGCGCATATCTTTTGGGTACGAAAAAGGCCTAAATAGCTACAAGTGAGAGGTTGGGGGGGGGGACTTTAACACCAAACCTGCTCATAGGAGTATATAATAGAGGTTCGGCTTGGTGGCTTCAAGAGTTAACACACCCTGGCCGGCGAGTCTTTGCCCAAACCTCAAAGCTCGAAAAGTTGGGTGTGTCGTTTTCTAGGGGACCCTCAAAATGGCAACGGTGTCCTTTTATTGTCCCTTTAAAACCCCAAAAAATATTGCACCAGCATAGACCCCGGATAGCAGCGCTTGCGCACCAGCACCTCCAAGAGCCCCCCCCCCCCCGAAGAACGCCCCAAGCAAAACCCGGCCGTCAATGGAGCAAACATGCACCCGCACCATCACCCTGAAGAGCACCCCAAACAGCCCCCGCCAAGACACCCAGCCGTCAATCTTGCGAAAATCAACCAGCACCCCAAACAGAATCTCAAACCACCACCTAAGCTGCATGCCCCCTTGCACCCTACCGTCAAGATGCAAACATGCGCCTGCTCCGTCACCTGCACGCCCGATAGCACCCGAGCGTCAATGTCGCGCAAATGCGCCCGCGCGCGAGAGCACCGTCACCAGCACCTCAAACAGCTCCCCACAAACTGCGTCCCACAGCACCATCAGAGCACCCCAAACTGCATTCCCCCCTGCGGTTACCGTCAAGATGCAAAATGCGCGCGCACCGTCACCCCCAAAACAGCACCTGCACAAGCACCCCAAACTGCATGCCCCCTAGCACCCCACCGCCAATCTTGAAAAGATGCGCCCGCACTGCCATCAGCACCTCAAACGCCCCAATCAACACCTACACCAGCACCCCAAACTGCACGCCCCCTAGCACCAGCCCATCAATCTCGCAAATCACTTTCCCCTCTTTTTAGAAGTTAGAACCCCTATAGCTTTCAGCTATCTGGGGAAAACGCGCCCCCCAAAAAAAACAGGCCCAATTGGCTTGTCTTCCTTAAATTGTTCTAGCAGGACCCAAATGTTCGGATCCATGACAACCACTTCCATTTCGTTCCCCGAGACAACCCGTTTGGACCGGGAAGTTGCGAATGTTGGCCGACGAGGATGGGCATGACACAAAGGGGCTATTTCCCTAAAGAACAACCTACAGATGTACCTTGGTGCGATAGGTAGGGAATGACCTTCCGGGTGTTGGGAATGAACCTAGGATCCCCTTAAAGCAAACCAAAGGAAAACGGCTTATAGGAAATGGTTTATAGGGAATGATGTACGCTTCTGCCCAAGCCAACGTAAAGGATAGAAACCTCGGTCACGCGAATTTACGATTTGTGGGCGGGAGTCCAGCCAGGTTTTGGCTGAAGCTCAAAAGGGGTGTGTGATCTTTAAGGGGAAGCCTTGCAAGGGCTTGCATATATATATATATATATATACTGGAGTGGCAATTCACTGGTCCCGAAAAATATAAAGGGGTGTGGCTATATTTTGGGGCTTGCGCGCCCACTCCAGCGCCGGCCCTGGCCGCAGCACGTGTTTTGCTCGCGCTGCTGGCGCGACAGGATCATCAACGGGCCACGCCTGGGCGAGCAAGGTCGGAGATAGAAGCTGCTCTGCGGGAAAATGCGCTCACAACGAATGCTCTCTGAGCGCATTTTTTGTTTTCCCCGGTGCTCCCCTGCAGCACTCGTGCTGCAAACAGCTGGAACCGCTGGAGCAGCTTGCATTTGCCCGCTCAATGGCTCCAGCTGTGAAACCCAAATGCTCTACATGCTGACGTTGTGAGCAACGCCTCACGATGACCAAGCAGTCTCTCACCACTTACTCTTCTTTGGGTTTGGGTCGCAAGCAGCCAAGATGACAGCCCTCCATTCTCCAGCTCTCCATAGTCGAGCTTGCCACAGGCGGGCGGCTTTGGATGAATGCCGATCGGTGATGCAGCTGCTGCTGATCTCCGGCCAAGCTTGGCACCGTTGCCGCTGAGCGCTGCGTGGTCCAATGGCCTCATCAGCACTTTTGCCGCAGTGCATTCACACATCACGCACCCGCATGCCCACAAGTCAACGGCTGGAGCCAAGTGTGCCTGAACTTCCTTTTCCGATGCATCCCACAGTTCTGGGGGTCGGTAAGGAAAAGTGCCGTATTCTGAGAAGCGGGGAGACGAGACACCATTCTCGCGCCCCATGTACTTGGCCATGCCAAAGTCAGCAATCTTCAGCTGGCAGCAGTCCTTGCTCCACCAGGGCGCCGTCAGAGAGCGTCAGGACTGCAAGGGGCTTCTTTGGCTAACCACTCATGTTTGCTGGCTGAAAGCACAAGATAGTTACTTCAGAGCGAGAACCTTTCAATACTACCACTTCACATCTATGACAAAACGTGATTTGAACATGCCTCGCCTGCGCAGATCTCCGCGGCACTCTGCGGGGTCTTGACCCCTGCAGGAATGTTGCTGGATGTGATCAAGTTGAATCCAGCCATGGCCCAGCTGAAGCTGCGCCCCGTGTCATAGCGCATGCGAAACACCGGGGGCGCTTGTGGCAGCGCGATGGCATACTTCTGGAGCAATGCCTGGGCGTTCAGGCGGCAGTTTTCTCCCAGCATGGCTGCGAGCGCCTCAGCGACTAGCTGCAGGTGGTCCTGGCTGTCCTGCCCCACAGTTGCTGAAGCCTCCGTTGCAGCTGAAGGGGCCGCTGGGACCGCCCCGTGGTGTCCAAGCTCTCAGTAGCTTGGTTCAAGGCTTCTCTGACACTGCCGGCATCAGATGACTCAGCCATGGCGCCCTGACTGCAAAAGAAATGAAGGAAGGGGGCGCAAAAAGATCGAGCACTGATAAGCCAAGGCATGCCTTTCACTGACTGACAACAGAATCCAGGATCTTAGCTGGCCAAGCCATGACGGGTTGCGTGACCCAACAAAGAAGGCGTACGGGCCGCCCGCCTCAAACTGCTTCTTCGCAAAGGCTACTTCTGGAGGAAGGGGCGCGGCATCTTCGCCTACAGCATTGGGCGGCTAAGTGGGGATGAAGATGTTGCAAGACCGCACCCTTCACCCTTCACCGTGCTGCTCAAACCCTTCGGGGCACAACAATTGGCAGGCTGACCAGCCAAGGGTCTGGCGCTGCGTGCAAAGATCTCGTGGTGGATGTGCTTGCTGAAGCCAGACGGGCTGGGCTGGCTGGGCAACTGGATGCAGGGAGGCAGAAACCTAGAAAAATAAAAAATGTGCGAAATGCCATTCTAGTAGATATATATATATACACATGCATATATATGTATACATATATATATATATACTAGGTATCAGGTCGCAAGGATGCGAACTGACCACCGCCTTGAAAGGTGTTGGTCGTGGTGCTTCTCGCCCAAAGAAACCACCCTCCAAGAGCAAGGTCACCCCACAATAGCCCAAAAAGCGATGCTTGAAATGGCTCAACATAAAGTAAAGCTTTGCTTTTTCAGGGAGGGAAACCAAAGGAAAGCCAAAGGGAAACCGAGGGGAAACACTGGAAAAACCTCCAACGAAACCGAAAGGACAACCAAAGGAAACCCAATTGAAACCCAAAGGAAAACCGAAGAACGACAAAACCAAAGTTGAAACCAAGATTCGCTTAAAGGGAAACCAAAGCAAAACCCATAAGTTCTTCTCCGTTTGTCTCAACCCTCGACTCATGGAACCTGACCCTGGGCCTCCGCGCCGCGCATTGCAGCGCACCGCCCTCGTGGAGCGCCGTGATACGTTTCTCACCCTCCCGGCTTAGTTTGCCTTATCTGGGTCCCTGATCAATGGACGCAATTACTCCCCTGCAAGTGAACATGGAACCCCAAATCGAGCTGCTTCTTTTCACGGGGATTTGAACCAGATGGCAAAACTGATTTGTTGACTGTCCCCAATGTATCCTTTGAGGGACCCTATCAAACCAGGCCGGAAAGAAGCCTCAGGTTTGAGAGCTGTGCGAGAGGCTCCATCCATTTCCCAGACAAAGAAAATCTGCCAGGAACTTGGCAAAGAACATTCCAAAAGCCCGATGGCAGTTGTACTCTATACCGAAGAAATTGCAAATAATCAGGTCGTTCCGTGGGGCAAATACATTGGGTCGTTCCATGAGGTCCAGCCTACCCACGAGCAAGCTATGCAGTGAGTCAATCCCACATGCGGGGAGATCCAAAAAAGGTGCCTCAAAAAAGGACATCCATATGGCGAGGACGAAACAGACCAAGACCCGAAAACAAACAAACAATGGCGGACACGTTTCGTCCGCTGAGCTCGGTCAAAGCAACGGGCAACGGGGCCCCTTTGGTCATGGGTCAACAAACAAACGAAGCCAACGCAAACAGGCCAAACCAAGCCAAACCTATCCTAACCTACCCTAACCTAACCTAGCAAACAAGCGAAAATGAAAGCATGCACAGAAAAACAACTCAGCAAAAAGGCAAGTAAGCAAGCAAACAAACTAAACACAACAAACAACAAAACAAACAAAACAAAGAGACCAGAGAGAACAAAGACTACAACGATAACAAAGAGAAACAGAAAACAAGGAGGAACGAAGGAGGAAGGAAGGAAGGAAGGAAGGAAGGAAGGAAGGAAGGAAGGAAGGAAGGAAGGAAGGAAGGAAGGAAGGTAGGAAGGAAGGAAGGAATGAAGGAAGGAAGGAAGGAAGGAATGAAGGAAAGAAATACAGAAAGAAAGAACGAAAGAACGACAGAAAGAAAGCAAGAACGAACGATGAACAGGCAGGCCAAAAGAAACACAACAACACACGCACTCGCACACACACACATACACACATACACACATACACACCTACACACATACACACCTGCACACATACACACATGCACACAGACACACAGACACACAGACACACAGACACACATACAAACATACACACAGACACACACACACAGACACACAGACACGCAGACACACACACACACACACACACACGCACACACACAGACACACAGACACACAGACACACAGACACACAGACACACACACACACAGACACACACACACAAACACACACACACACCCACACGCACACGCACACACGCACACACGCACACACGCACACACACACACACACACGCACGCACGCACGCACACACGCACACACAGACACACAGACACACAGACACACAGACACACAGACACACAGACACACAGACACACAGACACACAGACACACAGACACACAGACACACAGACACACAGACACACAGACACACACCCACACAGACACACAGACACACAGACACACAGACACACAGACACACAGACACACACACACACACACCCGCACGCACGCACGCACGCACGCCCGCGCGCACGCACGCACGCACGCACGCACGCACGCACGCACGCACGCACGCACGCACGCACACCCACACACACACACACACCCACGCACGCACGCACGCACTCACGCACGCACGCACACACACACACACACCAGACAGACACACACACACACACACACACACCCTGGGGTTCAACCCCCTTTAAAACAAAGGGGGTTAGGACTCGACCTTTGTTTTGCTTTGCTCGACCTTTGTTTGTATAGGGGCTTGGTGTAAAGCCTCGTTTAAGCAACATGGCCATATGGACATGGCCCTTTGGACTAAGATATTAGATAATACGCTGATCAGTTGTGAAGTTGAACCATGGAGTCGTTTGTTCAGCAGCTCAGCCAGCAATGACGGCTGAGACAGATCATGTGAATTTGCTGGGGGCCAAGCATCCCAGCGTGACATAATCGTGATGTTTAGAATTTGTATGATTGACATTGATGAAGCGTGCCAGCTTTCCAGCTTTAAAAGCTACAGGATGCAACGTTGGTACACAGCGTGGTTTTCTATGATATATGGGTGTCGGAGGCGCCCTATGGCTGGAGGCACGCAGGACTTTCTGAGCTAAACAGTTTCCTTCGCCGGGAGCACGATTCTGGTGCTCATCTCACGCTACATTTCGTTCCGATGGCTGCGATGATTAGATTGCTGATCGTGCTTGCTAGCTGCGTTGACTGTGCGTGTAATTCATGACAATTGGATCTAGAGAGCTCCTGCTTGCTGTTGATGCCCCATGTAGCCAGAAGGCATCAGAAGGCCAAGTGTGCGTGCGCAGGCTGGGTGACCCTCAATTAGTTGGCTATGCGGCCCGCCCGTGAATTTGCATTTGACTATTCTTTATGAACATGATCATATGAGCAGCGTCCCTAGTGCTATGCCATGCAAGTTCGTGTGCCCAGCCAGCTTGCAGCGCTGCATTATAGGAAGCTCGCGCGTGATGAGCGTGTCGCTATCATATTTGCCGTACGCAATCGGCATGCCAGTACTCCAAGAGTATGGTACCATGAAACTACCGTGAAACTACCGTGAAATTGCCGTGAAACTACCGTGAACTTAGCGTGAACCCCCTTTATTCTGCGTGAACCCCCTTTGTTTTGCGTGAACCACGCACACCCCAAAACCGATGTTTTCCCGTGATACCTGAGCTCGTGAGTCAACCCGTCCGCCCTGAGTGGTTCGTCCGCCCAAAGGTACATGCCACTTGGATTCATGAATGAAACTTTCGAAGTCTATATAGAATTGATTGTCTTGCTTGACAAGAACCTCTAATATGCCCTTTGGCAGTTTGCCCATGATGTTTTTTTTTCACCAGCTCGACCGGATCCGGACCCACAGCAACTTGTCTCCAATGTTTGGCTGAGCTCACCTAGTATTTGCAGCAGTGCATCTTACTGAATTGAGTTCTTGGTAGTCAACAGTGCCTTGCAGGGAAAACCCCAAGAATGACTCATTGCTTTTTGGATTAAGATGCAATGTTCTGGACGAAACGCTGCTTCGTTCAATTAGCGCACAGGTTTTTTTCTGAATCGCGCCCGCAGTGTTGCCCAGATATATTTGTTGATTCTTCATGGGTTGGGCACACAAGGTGTCCACAAACCTGCTCATCCGACTCGCTGGAAATTCTTCGAACTCGCAAACTCTGGCTACTTTGTAGGCTGTTTGATTGCACCGCGTCGCTAGTGTTTTGTGCTAGTAGCAGTTGATAGCTTTGCAGGCTATTATCCACCAAGCTAAAGATCAAAAAGCACCTAGACTCAATCAATAGGGAACCGATGTCAATTGCTCTACCTGCGCAAGGCTGAATGCGTCAGCTGAAAGACGGTTGGCGTGAACTCGCCGAGTGTAAAGAATCATAGTTGAACTAATTCCCGATTGATGCATCCATTTATTGGTGCCAACCTGAGTGACCCTAAAAATAATCCTCCTCACTGCCTCGACGGTAAAAAGAAAAGGGGTTAATAGAACCGCCTTTGTTTAAAAGGGGGTTTGAATGTCAGGGCACACACACACACACCACACACACACACACACACGCGCACACGCACGCACGCACGCACGCACGCACGCACGCACGCACGCACGCACGCACGCACGCACGCACACACCACACACACACCAACACACACACACACACACACACACACACACACACACACACACACACACACACACACACACACGCACACACGCACACACGCACGCACACACACACACACACACACACACCACACACACACACACACACACACACACACACACACACACACACACACACACACACACACGCACGCACGCACGCACGCACGCACGCACGCACGCACGCACGCACGCACGCACGCACGCACGCACGCACGCACGCACGCACGCACGCACGCACGCACGCACGCACGCACGCACGCACGCACGCACGCACGCACGCACGCACGCACGCACGCACGCGCGCGCGCACGCACGCACGCACGCACGCACGCACGCACGCACAACAAACTCAAACAGGCAGCCATTTGGCTAGTAGGACCCTCGACAACAGGTCTCGCCTTAGTTGTCCCACGTGTCAAAGTGGGGAATCCCAGTCAGTTTTCAAGGAACCAACCCCAAGACATCAAATATAGTTTTGAGGGGCAGATGTTTCAGGAAATCTGCGACCACATTCAAAATGACTAAACCCCCAAAAGCAGCTTTTGGACCCACCCTCTAACCCACAAACGTGGCTTGCCTTTTGCAAAAACCAGCTTTTTGTAGAAAGGGAGCCTGTGCACAGAAGTCTGCGCTATGGTCAAAACTCCCATAGGAACTCTTGTGGCGCTTGTCTACTTTTCCCCTGCGGTCCATGGCCGCCGCTCGAACCCCCACAAAAGTCTCACCCTGGCGCAATGTTTCTTTGTGGGAGGGTAATTGTCACCAAATCTCAACATCGTCTTAGGAGGCCAAAGGAATAGAATCCCAGGCAAGGCCCAAATCTCCGGCCTCGGGGCCTCACTGTGACTCGCCTGAAGGCTGAACACCCGCGCAAAAGGCGTTCAAGAGGAGATTCATCCAAGCATGATGTGTCTTGTTGGGGTTCCATGTGATACCTCCAAAATCCCTCGCTCTGAAATGCCTTTGTAGGGGGGAGAGATGTCTTCGCGCTACGCGTGGAATTCGGATGGGTCGAAAGCAATGCAGAGCACAGCCACGATACACGGGATTCATCCTTCACCAGGTGATGGTTGCGTGACATGTAAAAATCAATGGCAGGACTTGCCCTTCTCAAGTGGCCACAATTGGGTCGAATTGCCTTGATGTGCCCAGATCGTGGCAAGAACCCTGAAGGGGTCCATGTGCATTTGCCCGAGACCATGGGCCCCCTGCGGATCAAAACATATCTAGGGACTGATCTGTTCAAAATGACAGGGGACGATTCCTAGTATGACACACACACACAGCCCTTTCAAAAGAATGGCCGTCGTTTGGTTGATTCAAAGAACTGTGTCACCCGATATTGTGGTAACAAAGGACCCTATCTGAAGTGTGCCTCTTTCATGACCGTCCAAAGGATCGTACCCACCTTGTTCTTGGCACTTCAGCTCGCTGCATCTCGCTGTGTGCCAAAACTATCAATGATGACTCAAGAAGCCTGGCCGTGCTGTCCTCATGGCTCTTCTGCAACCATCACAGTCCAGCCCTGAGAGTTCTCCATCTCAGAAAGCCGGCTGTTCTGAGAGTCCACCCTTCGCTCCAGCTCAGGCAAGGACATGGCTGAGAAAGCCGAGAGCTGAGGCACTGAGCCGGTACTGAGCTAGCTGAGCCAATATACAAGAATATAAAACCAATACTAAACCAATTCTAAACAGTACTGATCCTGCTCAAAGGAACACGAAACCAATGCTAAACCAACTATACCTAAACTTGCCTTGCCTACCTGCCTTACCTACCTTGCCTTACCTACCTACCTTACTTACCTACCTTACCTACCCCTACCTTGCCTTCCTTGGCCAGCACTACAGCAGCACAAAGCAATACAAAACCAATACTAAACCTATACTAGACAATACTAAGCCGATACTAAACGTAGGAAAGGCTGATCTGAGCCCCAAACGGATTTCTCTATTGAGGCTTCATGCTCTTTCTGTTTTTTTCTTTTTTTTGGGGGGGGCCTTGTTCATCAGGTACCCACATGATCAAAGGAAGTGACATGATCCTTCCTGTACTAGCGAAGTGGGGTTCCCGATTCCCATCCCTTGCGTTACTTTGTCGCCGGGAAAAGTGGCACAGCCGAACTTTCCACAACTCTCCTGCCCTCTCTCCGACTCTGCCCCACTCTCGCCTGCGCCATGCCACATCGCGCGATGCGCGACGCGGACGCGCGTCCGCATGCGAATCGCGGGTGGTGCGTCGCCCAGGTTACCACCCTGAGGGTTGGTCTCGTAGGGAAGCCCTGTATGGATGGCTTCCTATTGATGTCCCGTTTAAAACCAACCCAACAAAAGGTCCTTAACAAAAAAACAACTCTTGTGCGCGTGTGCGTTTGAAGGGTACCGCTTTGGGAGCTCGCCCCATTTTGGCGCATACCCGCATGCCACCGCATGTCTGTGTGTGTGTGTGTGTGCTGGTTTAAGACGCCGATTTCAGATCAGTTGGATGAAACCCCGATTGGCTTTGCAGAAGTTGGTAGACCATTCTGCCCCAGTCACCAATTCTATACTTGCATCGGGTTGGCTATTTGAACAAAGTATACTTGCATTTGTTAGTTGAATTACAAAACACCAATATCAAACAAACCTGATGGTTATTCAAGTTGAATATTGTTGTTTGTTTGTTTGTTGAACTACAATAAAACAATTGCTTGTTGAATAATCAAACAGATGGTTTGTTTTTTAAACAAAGCCCAATGGTTTTTGGACCTTCTTACGGCTTGCTCGCGCTCGCGCGCGGAGCTCCGAGTTCGGTGGAAGGAGCTGAGCAAATCCCACATCGGGCAAAACGCAGCTAGCGGGGGGGAAATGTTGTTTAAGGGGACCCAAAATGGCTGTTTCCCTTTTTGGCGTCCCTTGAAAGCCAACCAAAAGGGTAGCCGCAAACAAAGCACGGCTCCACATAACCTTGGAAGTCTTGCAAGTGGTGCCATTGGGCGACAAACAAAAAGAAACCGGTCTGTTGGAGTCCTGGGAATCCGAATCCAAGCCAGAAACACCCAGTTTTGCCGGAGACTTGGTTTTGAATCTATCCGATAGGATCGAGCTTGCAGGGACCCTCCTTCGCACATGCTCTCGAATGACTCGCCTCAAACGATCCATCAAGCTGATGCGATTGTCCCAGCACTGCACATGAACTGGGGTTCTTAGAGTGACACTCTCAACATGACGGTCTAAATGGTGGTTCAAAGGAAAACCACCCTCGAAAATAATCTTAAGAACCCCTGAAAAAGGTTCACTTTAAAAGACCCAATGAAAAGCTGCGCTCTCTCCATCCGTCTCCCTCCCTCTGGGCTCATGCTTCCACACATCTGTGCCGAGCTTGCACGCCTTTTCCGTCCATGTAAAGTGAAATCTGACGAGTGAACTTCGACTTGAGACTTGAGACTTAGTTTGACACTGTGTACACGAAATGATCCGTGCACCAAAAGATTTGTGCACCAAACGGGCTGTGCACCAAATCCGCGAATGTAACTACATGTTTTGAGTGGGCAGGGCTAAATTGACTACATGAAACGATCCATGCAGCTCAGTTGAGTGGCAGGGGGAGGATCAGCACATGGCACCGATGATCATGTGCCTCGGCAGGCATGTGGCTTTAGGAAACCAAACGCGACCGGAACGATTCCCTGAACCTTAGGGGCGTTGGCTGAGAACCTTTCTGGCTGGGTTTTTGTTGGGATGGGTTCACAAGAAACCAACCAGAAGTATAGAAGTCGAAGCCCTTTGTAAGAATTCTCCCATTTCGAGACGAACCCAGACATGTGCCACGGTCAAACTCCGCCATATGTGGTCCACCCTCATGGCTCCTTTGAGAGGAGCTCCAACATTAGGGACCCTTTGGTGGACATCATTTAGCTGGGGATTCACGTTCATCAATCATGGAAGGGAGTGTTCCCCATGGAAACTCATGGCCAAATCTTGTTGCGGGGGTCATGGCCATCCTCAGATCAGGGCGCACCTCGGGGGTGTCTTTTCCGGAGCTTATCCCTGGGGCTGGTCTAAAAGGGCACTCAAAGGAGGAGGCTTCTTTGGGGCAATCACTTCGAGATCTGCTTTCACTGAAGCCACCCAGCCCTTGGGAGCAAAAACAATTATCGCGGCCCTCTGGCCTGGTCAGAAGTAAACTAACGATAACTAGGAGTACCTACTTTTGAGCAGGGTTCCCTTTCTTATCCTAAACTTTAAACATCTACCTCTACCAAGGGACCAAAAGCTCATGCCCATCTGAGCCAAACCCAAACACATCTGGGAGGCTCGTCTTTTCCCTAGTACCCTTGTTGGGCACACACAAAGACAAATTCACACACACACACAAAGACACACAAAGACACAGCATGTCGCCCAAGTGCATGGCATGCAAACTTGCAAAGGCCAAGGTGCCCGGCTGCAGCACCCAGCCCTGCCAATCTTCCCTGAGCCGCACCGCGCTGGCGTCCTGCTTCATCTCCAGCTTCTGGATGTTGCCCACCGCCTCCACCAACATGCCCAGGTCACCTCCGCTTGGGCGTGTGGGTGTTCTTTTTTTCTTTTGGGGGGGGGGGGCGCGCGAAAAAGCTGGTGCTCCTGTTGGTTTCCCTTCAAAGCCTGTCAAAAGGGGGCACCCCAAAAAATCACACGCCCTTTTTCACATGAATCTAACAGCCGGTCAGGAAGTTTCCAGAAAAATGGACACGGAAGTAGGTCAAGGGAAACAGCAGGAAACTTCAACTCAGATCATGAGACAGTGTGAGTAATCAAAATCTGGGTGTGTCTTTTTAGGGGACCCCCAAAATGGTGGGTTTCCCTTGGGCTTCTAAACCAAGCCCAAAAAGGGTACCCACAAGGAAGACACACCCACCCTGAAACTGCACAAGGTTGACAGTAGCCGCACAATTCCCTTTCTGAAATGCAGAAGGATCAAGTCACCTCAAAATAAAGGGCTGGATTCCCCAACTTTGATCTAGCCTGGTCTTGATTGTGGCTCATGTGAGCAGCACCCCAAAACCATTGACTTTGGTTCTACATGGTCACAAGGCTTTCTAGGTGCCTTTCTATAACCCTTGTCAAACGGGCAGTAGGACCCCCCACCAAACCGGCCATTGGGGGGTTTGGGCGCTGCTCATGTTGCGCCACCGTCCAAACTCGAGCTTTATGTGGGCCAGGGTCAAAGTCCCCGTAGCCCTCGTTCAGAACAACTGCCCAAAAACCTAGCGGGTGCGTGAACAGCCATACCCCGGGACCTCCGGAAGGGCCGCACGGGAGCCAACTCTAGGGGCCTCAAGGCTCGAGGGAGGGAGTTCTGAAGGGAAAAGGAAGAGGGAGGGAGGAAGAGGGAGTTCTCTGAGGGAAGAAGGAGAAAGCAGGGCACCCTTCTTGGGTTTTTTTTGGTTGGGCAACCAACAGTTAAACCGAAATCTGTGTTGCACGAGTCTGAATCCTTGGAAACGAGTGGGATTCCTTGTTGGTTGGGTGTTTTTTAGCTCTTGTTAGTATTACTAGTTTTTGAAGTGATCCAAATCCTGATCATTGTTGTTACAAACAAACAACTGGTAAACTGATGATGATGACAACAACAATAATTGTAATAAACACACAAAAAATAAAAATAAAATAACAACAGAGAAGCAAGCACGAATAAACCATGGCCGCCCACGGGCTCAGTTCCTAGGCGCTCGTGATGTGTGCGAGCTTCGGGAACTGAGCCAGGCTCGTGAGGCTCACCCAGCCCTGCGTGTCCATGATGTGGCGGCGGAGGTACACATCCTGCGGAAATGGATGCGGAGTGGAGGAGTGGAGGAGTGGGGGGGGAGGGGGGGGGAGAGGGGGGGAGTGGAGGAGTGGGGGGGGCGTGGACGGAGAGGGGGGAGATGGGGGGAGTGGAGGAGTGGAGGGATGGGGGGGGGGGGACAGGGGGGGGGGACAGGAGGGGGGGGGACAGGGGGAGATGGAAGACAAGGGGGGAGTGGAGGAGGAAGGGGAAGAGAGAACATGTTGGAAACGTGGAAACCCAAAGGAAAAGGGTCCAGATCCAAACCAGTCGCAGTGGTTCCAGTTGCCACTATGGTAGGCAACCAGGTAGTTTTACCTCTAAGTCTCATGTGATGGTTTCCCTGGCCACCCACTATGGCGGCAACTGGAAGCACTCGGAGGTGCCCCCTCAACCCCTAAAGCCCCAGAAAACCCCTCGCAGGTGCCAGCTAATCAGCTACCCCGGCCTGTAAAGAAAGGTGGAGGGCAGGAATCATTAAAAAAAAGGAAATACAAAAAAAAACAAAAAAACAATCGAGCCGTCTCCCCTCCATTCTGGCAACAAGAAGGGTACAGGGCCATAGGCTATAGGGCAAATGGCAACTTGACTGAAGTTTCTTAGGGTTAACCAAAGACATACAGTGGATGGACAAAATCCTCCACCACCTGAGAAGCCAATGCCGGCCGACCATGGGAAACCCCATAGTTTCTTAGGTGGTCTGGTGCCTAAACGGATTTCGTAACCATCCACAGGTCACTGGAAATGAACCTCCAGTCTTGCGGCATCGTTGGCTTTCGGCAGCTTCGCTTTCCGTTCGGCGTTGCTGGTACGGAAAGCGGTCCTTAATGAGGTTCTCCTTGCTGAAGTAGTAATCGATCCTCAGCTCACTCTAGCAACTCTGCGTCTTAAAGGCAGTGAGTGACGCCTTTAAGAAGAAGAAGGGTGTCTTACCCGAACCCAGTTGTCAGAGCCGGTGTGCTTTTCTCCAAGTCATTTGGGCAGGGGCTCTTTGCTTGGGGCGCAGGTTCCTTGGGATGTGTTTGTTTAGATAAAAACCGAAACCCGAAAAAAACGCATTGCGTAGCAGCGGGACCCCCTGTCGGCCCCATCGCAAAAACCATGTGGGTTGGGATCACTTCCGCACCCATCTGAGAAACCTGGGTCAGATGGTGAGGATGTCCAAGCTTTGTTTGACTAGACAGGGATCCTTACATTATACACCTGAACATTGCCTTGTAAATGGTGGTTTCCCTGTATTTTGGTGGAAAAAGCCATGTTTCAAATGGTTGCAAAATGTATCTTTTAAGGAGCCCTGCTAGCACATCGGAGTTCTTCTGCCTGCCAAGTGGCTGTCGCTGGGCCTTGCTCACCACCTCTTGCCGCTGCGGCTGCGACGACATGCCCGGCATCATCTCCGGCATGTAGCCGATGAAGGGCATGCCCATACCTGGTGGGTCAAAACTAAGCAACCAGGGGACCAGGGGACCGCAGATTTTGGGTCATATGGGCGTGGCTCAAAATTAAACAGGAGGGGCAAACCGCAGGTGTTGGTCCATGTTTCCACTTACCAGGGCAACCCATTTTGGTACCGGTTTTTTGAGCCACAGCCATATGTCCATTTACCAAGGCTGAATTTTGGGTACCCATTTTTGACCCGCCGCCCCGCGCGATAAAAACTCCCCGCGGTGGCCTCCCGGTGAAACGTGGGAGGGCATCGACGCGAAGAAACCACTTAGGGGTTACCTCGCTTTGTAGGTTGGTTGGGAAAACCAAAGTAACACCGCCATTTTTAGGGGGGTCCCCCTATTTTGACACCCATGACCCTAGAGTTGGTTATGGAGCATGGTGGCTCCCATTCGACCACATCGATGGGCAGAAACCTTGAATTGAAACAGATTCCTGCGCAACCCCATATGACTCCAAGTGTTGTTTGTTTTTGTTCTTCTGCTTTTTGTTGTTAATAAGGAATCCCTTGAACCTGCATGGGCAGCTCACTTTTACTCCCTGTGCTCGTTGCGCCGATACATCATCTTTGGAGGACCCTGAAATTTGTGCGCAAAGGACAACAGCAGAAGACGCACCATATACATATATATATATGTGTATGTATTATATTATATATCTATATACGTATATTATATATATATATATTATATATATATATATGTTTCCATACATGCAAGTGTTGGCTCTTGGCTGCCGCGTTCCCGCTGACGAACGCAAGGACACCGACAGCGACCCACGAACTGGGCCTCCTCCCATGTAGGGCGGGTACATCGGAAGCTGAGCGACGTCGAAGGGCATGGCTTGTGCCATGGGGGGCATGTAGTTCATGCCGCCTGCCGGTCAGAAAAGTTTGGAAACCAAAGAGGACCCCAGAAAAGCAACAACAAAAAAGGGGAACTGATTCTGGGGAAGAAAGGAAGGCTCCACCAAATTCCAGGCGAAGCTGAGGAACTGACGCCAACTCTTTTTGCGTGAGAACAAATTTGAGGACATCTTCAAGCTTCTTCAAAGTACCATGACTTGCCAACTCGGGGGAATCAGAGATACCGGACTGACTTAACATCTCTCCTGTGATCTTGCTTTGAGTTGGGCAAACCGACCTTCCGGGCAGAAATCCCGTCGAATGCAATTTCCGCGGGGAACAGGCACACACTCCGAGCAAGAGCTTAGACTACGACTGCCAGCCAGCCTAGCTCTTCAACATGTGAATT